AATCGAAAATGAATCTTGATGTGAATGGAAGGGGAGAGGGAGTGGGAAAGGGGAGGGTTGTGGGTGGGAGGGACGGTATGGGGGGGAAGCCATAGTAATCCATTATTCGTACTTTGGAAACGTATATTCATTAAATAAAAGTTAAAAAAAAAATGATCTGTGGATTAGTAAATGTAGCTACATAGATTGGTATACAGAGTGGTGAAGCCCTAGTGTGAATTGGTGTGAACAATAAAAACCCTTCACTGGAGAGACAGTCTTGTGTCCTTGTTAGTAATGTACCTTGTTAGTAATGTATATATAGATATAAATATCTTAATATAGGCAAGTGTTTCAAATTTAATTTGTACTACTCAGCTAATCCTCAAAAGTAGACCTATGCTGCTCTACTTAGGAGAAAAATCTTACAAAATTTCCACTCACATTCTTTGTTAGAACACTGCAAAGAAGTGGTGTATTTTAATACAATTCAAAAAGTTCAAATGAACTATTATTGAGAAAACTACAAATATGGACATGCAGTTAAGTACTCTGTGTTGTTATTGTTCAATAAATTTCGGCCATTTCTTAGGCAATCAACAAAATAAGAAGTAACATTACTTTCATAAATGATAAAATTATATATTTTAGACCTTAAGCACTACTATGATTTCTGATCTCTCAAAAAATAAACCCTTTGTAATTTGATCATCTAATAACAAGATGTCAAAGCTGCCAATTGCACATGTATTTTAGTTTTTTTTTTACTTAGAAACATTTTAAGGTATACAAACTTAATGCACTTCATATATACAAATTTAGGAACATAGTGATTCTTTCCGCCCAAACCTCCCTCCTGCCTGTACTCCCACCCTTCTTCCTCCTTCCTCTCCTACTCCCATTTTTATTTTTTACAAAGATCTATTTTCAATTAACTTTTCTACTCATAAGATCAATGCTACATTAAGTAAAGAGTTCAATAAATAGTATTAAAAAAACCTATTACTCATCAACAGTTGAGACAAGGGCTGCTCAAAATCATCACGTTTCAAAAAGTACTAAATTTATAGGTTGAGCACACCTAAGCTGAAAATACATAGAACTCTATAAATCTGAAACCTTTTGAGTGTTGATATGATGTCACAGTAGAAAATTCTACAAATGACCTCACGTGACAGGTTGTAGTCAAAACACAGGTAACACTAAAAACACTGCATAAAATTATATTATAAAATTATTAACATTCAAATATGTGTATTATAGCAAACATTTCTAAAAATTAAACAGGATCTCCATCTGGTGGCCAGAGGGACAAGTGCAGACTTACTAAGTAAGCCACTAGTATAAATATTAACGGTGATAGTGGTAAGAGGAAAAGTTACTCTGGCCTACAAACGTAGCTTTGAAGAATTAACACAGCCATGACAAGTGGAAGTCAAAATTTTGAGAAAGAAATAAAAACTTTTAAAAATACTGGCTTAGCTTACTGATTTAAATTCTTGGAATAAAAGTCCAGAATAAGGAGACCAGTAATTGGGTGTAGCAGCGTTAATACACTGCTGGCAGCACCAGTATCCCATATGGGCACTGGCTCCAGTTCTGGCTGCTGCACTTCTGATCAAACTCCATGCTGATTCGCCTGGGAAAGCAGCAAAAGATGGCCTAGGTGCTTGGGTCCCTGCCACCCACATAGGAGACCCAGAAAAAGCTCCTAGCTCCTGGTTTAGACCTAGAAATGAAATAAATCTTAAAAACAAAAAAGAAATCCAGAAAAAAATTATTTTTAAGAGAAAAGTTTGTTGCACATAATTAATCAACACAGAATTCTGTGAAAGACTTCAGGTTAATCAGGTGTTGAAGTGCAACACCCCAACAAGAACACTAACAGGTATCCTTATTCCACTTAGTATTAAAAGTAAAGGTCGATTTTATGTAACATTCTTATTGATGTTAATGGCCAGCACAGAGTTATCATTAGAAATATGTAAGCTAAATTCTAAACATCTGTGCAAGTAATATACACTTAGCTATCCTGCTGCACAGTGAGCTCTTCAATAGGATAATTCAGAGGTTTTCATATAATGAGAAGTACGTTCTGGTATTCATATCAATCATGGTTATGAGGAAGGAAAGTCTAAAGATTAGAAAAGTATCAAACTTACACCTGGTTGAGCCACAAAAGAAGGACAAAAGGGGAGAGAAGGGATTATACCTGACTGTCACAAGTTAACAGTAAACCTCTTTTTGCAGGACACAAAAATTCTAATTTGTCACATATTAGTTACATCCCCCTCAAACCAAAAGGCCAGCTTGTTGATTAACATGCACACATAATGAAAAACTATAAATCATCAAAAACGTGTATCAATAGTGATTATTTTGAATGTTATGCAAATACTGAACCTTCTTTTTGAATGTTAACTATAAAAATAAAAGCTCAGTGTCACACAGAGAGTAATTTTCAACACAAGATAGAAACTTAAGAGTTTTTGGTAGGTCAAGTATCCTCAAAGTATTCATAAAATAAGACCTTAATGATGGAGAGGTGAGGTGAACAGAAACCTTATCCCACCCTATTCAACTATTCCATACAATCTAAAATTAAATTTTCTACTGTCTTAAATATTTAACTTAATTAAGAAATATATTCTACATCTGAAATCTTCTGATTTAAAAAAATGAAACAGAACAGGATGTCATCAAGTCTAAGTGGTTCAGGTGCTACTTGGGACACTTGTGCTCCATTTAAGAGTGCCTAGGTTCGAGTCCCAGCTCTGCTTTGGATTCCAACTTCCTGTTAACGTCCACCCTGGGAAGCAGCAGGGGAAAGCTCAAGTATCTGGGTCCCTGACATTCATCGAAGATCCATATTAAGTTCTAGGATCCTGGCTGCAGCCTGGCCCAGCTCAGTTAGCATCATATTGATACTTGGGAATGAACCAGCAAATCAAAGATCTCCGGTACTCTTTAAAATAAAAATGAATGGGCCGGCGCTGTGGCACAGCAGGTTAACACCTGGCCTGAAACACTGGCATCTCATTTGGGTGCCGGTTCGAGACCCAGCTGCCCCACTTCTGATCTAGCTCTCTGCGATAGCCTGGGAAAGCAGGAGAAGATGGCCCAAGTCCTTGGGCCCCTGCACCTACATGGGAGACCAAGAAGAAGCTCCTGGCTCCTGGCTTCGGATTGGCCCAGCTCCAGCTGTTGCGGCCAACTGGGGAGTGAACCAGTGGATGGAAGACCTCTCTCTCTGCCTCTCCTCCCTCTGTGTAATTCTGACTTTCAAATTAATAAATCTTAAAAAAAAAGAAAAATGAAAATAAATAATAATACAACTTTAATGACAAAGCTGATATATAAAACCAATCTATCAATTCAAAACATTTAGGAAGGTCTTTAAGGCAGATTGCAAAGTGGTGTGTGTTTAAAGCACTCATTCTATCATGGAGGACAAAGTGGACAATTCTTTTCCAAACACGAGGGAGTTCCCATCCATCCAAAGCAGCAACACAGCTGCTACAGAGCACCAGACTATTTCATGATTCATTCCCTCTGTTCTCTTTACTTATTTTTTTTTTTTTTTTAATTTGACAGGTAGAGTTATAGACAGTGAGAGAGAAAGGTCTTCCTTCCATTGGTTCACTCCCCAAATAGCTGCCACGGCCAGCACTGCATCGATCAGAAGCCAGGAGCCAGGTGCTTCTTCCCAGTCCCCATGCGGGTACAGCGGCCCAAGCACTTGGGCCATCCTCCACTGCCCTCCTGGGCCACAGCAGAGAGCTGGACTGGAAGAGGAACAACCAGGACAGAATCTGGCGCCCCAACCGGGACTAGAACCCGGGGCCCATATGGGTTGCCGGCGCCGCAGGTGGAGGATCAACCAAGTGAGCCACAGTGCCGGCCTTTACTTATTCTGTAACTAATGCAATGCATAAATGTTTATTTTCACAAGGAAAAATATGAGCAAAGGCAGTGAAAAGGTAAGAACAAGACAGAGAGTTGAAATGAAAAAAAAAATTTTTAAGGCCCTGGCTAAAAAGTGTAGATGTTGATTGTTTGTTTCTCTTGGCAATATCTATATGCTTATGAGTCTAAAGAATATATGTTAACTTTCTACTCTTACTTAGGAAAAGAATCCATTTCTAGGATGATAATTATACAACAATAAATTAGTTTCAATCAATAATCAATTGCACATTGACAAAAGTATCTATAATACTTTTATTGTTGAATTTTAAAACACTATCCTATTATCAAGTACAGTGTAACTGATTTATGCATCTTTCTTCAAAAATTACTACTGTTCGTAATTTTATATTGTTTGACAAAAACAGAATTAAAAAAAACCCAAGAATTCAAACATATTAAGATCAGAATATTGTCATGAACTTGTTACTCTTTGTTCTATCATTTTCAATTACAGGTTATTAAGAGAAAGAAATATACTTTCACAGATGAAGACAGAAACATAATGAAAACTTAACACATGTTCTAGGATACAGTATTAAACTGTATCCTATCTATCTCAAGAATAATTATTCAGAAATAAACTATCAAATAGTTTAACTGAATCTCATTATTTAATATGATACAACACTGCCGGCGCCACGGCTCACTAGGCTAATCCTCTACCTTGCAGCGCCGGCACACCGGGTTCTAGTCCCGGTCGGGGCACCGGATTCTGTCCCGGTTGCCCTTCTTCCAGGCCAGCTCTCTGTTGTGGCCAGGGAGTGCAGTGGAGGATGGCCCAAGCCCTTGGGCCCTGCACCCCATGGGAGACCAGGAGAAGTACCTGGCTCCTGCCATTGGATCAGCGCGGTGCGCCGGCCGTGGCGGCCATTGGAGGGTGAACCAACAGCAAAAGAAGACCTTTCTCTCTGTCTCTCTCTCTCACTGTCCACTCTGCCTGTCAAAAAAAAATAATAATAATAATAAAATAAAATAAAATAAAATAACAAATAAATAAACAAAACCACTCACCCACAAGGATATTTCAAAGGAATCACCACAAAGTGCTTTACCTGAGTCATTTCGTAGATAAGATGACATGGCTGGGATGAGGCAGGACTGACTAAGCAGCTCCAGCAGTACCGAAGGCAGGGCACTACTGTTCTGGCCTCTGCTCTCCTGAGAGGACTGAGCATCTCCATTTACTGTACCACTAACAGGGTTTATGTAACTTGCAAGAACCTAAACATAAAAATGGTTGAAACTAAATTGCATCATAGTTTCACATACTTTAAAAGCCTGTTATATTAAGACATTCAATCCGCATACTCAGAGTATAAATATTCAACTCAGTCCTTATCTCATACTAGGTTTTGAAAAAAAAATTATTAAAATCTTTAAAAGATTATACTGCTTACAAAGGATGGTGTACTATATATGATAAGATAAATGAAAGCAATTCCACAAATAATTTAAAATTAAAAATTTATAGAAATTCTGATCTTATTTATGATTATATTTTATTGAACAGATTCAGCTCAAAGTTTGAGGGTGATAGAATCTTAGAACTTTATACTAGAATGAGCATATCACTCTAGAACTACAGAAAATTATAGCTTCAACTAGTGGATCTAAGAATTAAAACTAATCTTCTCTTTACACATTAAAGATTTTCCTTACAGCATCTCTCCTCGTTTCTGTGGCAAAGTATTTCCATACTAGTCTGGAAAAGTTAGGAAATTTGAAAAACAAAAATATAATAACTATTTTGAGTCCACAAACATCATGTTAAGATGAGAAGATGACTAAAAAAAAAAAAATGACTTTTTTTTTTTTTTTTTTTGACAGGCAGAGTGGACAGTGAGAGAGAGAGACAGAGAGAAAGGTCCTCCTTTGCCGTTGGTTCACCCTCCAATGGCCGCCGTGGCCGGCGCGCTGCGAACCTTGCACCACGCTGATCCCGATGGCAGGAGCCAGGTGCGTCTCCTAGTCTCCCATGGGGTGCAGGGCCCAAGCACCTGGGCCATCCTCCACTGCACTCCCGGGCCACAGCAGAGAGCTGGCCTGGAAGAGGGGCAACCGGGACAGAATCCAGTGCCCCGACCGGACTAGAACCCGGTGTGCCGGCGCCGCTAGGTGGAGGATTAGCCTATTGAGTCGCGGTGCTGGCCAAAAATATGACTTTCAAATAGCGCATTTTCAAGAGACTATCAGGATAATTTCATCCTTGCTAGTTTCCTCAGCAAAGAAACTACGAGGGAAAAAATTAGGAGGAACAAGTGAAAAAGAGCAATCACTGACCACTGCCATCCTAGAATGCACTGGAGGCCGGGAGCACATTGTGGGCATGATAGTGACTGATGCGGGTAAGTCATCAATATTTAAAAATCGCTAAACGTACAAAAAACAAAGTAACTATCGACAATGATAATATACACGTTACAAATATACCTGCAGAAGACAGGTAACATGTTCCTCTTCCAGCCTCTGTTTAGTTAAGGCCTGTTCCACATCCCATCCTGAAGCTGTGGAGCCTGTTCCAAAACCAGTCCCTTTGGCCCAGTATAACTGCTGTTCTTCTGTTGACGCAGGGTTATGAGAGCTTGACACCTGTGGCTTGTAACAGAATATAAAAACTTATTACTATCTGCCTTTATTTATTAAAAAAATAGCTATTTCTGAGAAGTTTAAATGGTTTGGCCACTGCGGAAAACACTTAGGCAATTTCTGAAAAATTGAGTACTGAATTACTGCATGACCCAGAAATTCCTAGGTATATACCCAAAAGAAATTAAAACCAATCTTAAAACAAAAACATGTAAATACATATTCACGGCAACCTATCCAAAAAGGAAGGAAGGAAGATTAGGAAGGAGGGAACGTAGGTAGGTGGGAGAAAAGAGCCCATGTGTTTATAAACGGATGAACACACATAAACATAAACATAGTACCATTCAGACTTAAGAAGGAGGTGGTGGCACCGTGGCACAGTAGGTTAACCCACTGCATGCAGTGCCAGAATCCCATATGGATGCTGGTTCTAGTCCTAGCTACTCCTCTTCCTATACAGCTCTCTGCTACAGGCTGGGAAGACAGCAGATGATGGCCCAAGTCCTTGGGCCCCTACACCCATGTAGGAGATCCAGAAGAAGCTCTTGGCACCAGATCGGTTCAACTGTGGCCATTGCAGCCATCTGGGGAGTGGACCAGTGGATGGAAGGCCTCTCTCTCTGTCTCTCCCTTTCACTGTCTGTAACTCTACCTCTCAAATAAAAAAAATCTTAAAAAAAAGAAAGAAAGTCAGAACCGGTGCTGCAGCATTGTAGGTTAAGCATCTGCCTGGGGGAACAGAAGAGGATGGCCCAAGTGCTTGGGCCCCTGGGAGACCTGGAAGAAGCTTCTGGCTCCTGGCTTTGGCCTGCCCAGAAGACCTTGCCATTGTGGTCATCTGGGGAGTGAACCAGCAGATGGAAGATTCTCCCTCTATATCTCCTTTCAAATAAATCAATCTTAAAAAAAAAAGAGTCAAATATTTTAGGAATAAATTTTACAAATATATTTATTTTGAGTTACTGTAAAATATTCTTCAAAAAAGTACATTTGGCCAGCGCCATGGCTCACTAGGCTAATCCTCTACCTGCGGCGCCGGTACCCCGGGTTATAGTCCCGGTCAGAGCACCGGATTCTGTCCCGGCTGCTCCTCTTCCAGGCCAGCTCTCTGCTGTGGCCTGCGAGTGCAGTGGAGGATGGCCCAAGTGCTTGGGCCCTGCACCCGCTTGGGAGACCAGGAGAAGCACCTGGCTCCTGGCTTTGGATCGGCGCAATGCGCCAGCCGTAACAACCATTTGGGGAGTGAACCAATGGAAAAGGAAGACCTCTCTCTCTGCTTCTCTCTCTCTGCCTGTTTAAAAAAAAAAAAAAGCACATGTTTATTGCTACAAAAAGATATAACTAATTTTTACATATTGATTCCATATTCATTTATTGTAGTCTCACATAAAACTCACATATGCCAATAATTATTCTGGACATTCTATAACAATAAAATCACAAGAGGTTTTGCTTTAGTTTTTGTTCAATTCTTTGTTTCCCTTGTCTTACTACACTGGCTATTAGAGTCTCCCACTCAATAATATGATTCTCTAACATTCAATAAAAGGAAAGAAGACTAGAGTATAAATTCAGCATATGTTGATAAATGAAAAAGATTACTAAGCTTTGAAATCTTCGTTCCTCAAGTACAAAAGTTAATTTGTGGTTTTCTGAAGGAGAAAGAAAACAACTAAGTTTCACTTCTAAGTCCTTTGCCTTAGTTACAAAAAAAAAAGCCTCAAATCTCTGACATATTAGGAAGATCATACAAAGTTTTATTAGGTACTCAAAGTTAGTTTTCATAACCTAAAAAATTATAATTGAACCTACCTCTGCTTGATTGAGGTTTGAGTTTGGAACTCGTGGGGCATGGTGGCTCAAAGCAGAGAGACAGACAAGAATGAGGTGTAGCGCCCCAATTTCCAGGGCCATCCGTCTTAGAAGCACACCGTCATCAGTTGTTAGAGGTGTAGCGCTAAACAAGCTACGGAGGACATGGAAAGGAAGGGTCGGAAGCACATTGGCTGATGGAGATTGTAGTATGTGACCTAGATTAAAAACAGAAGAGGACTCAAATATACTTAAAAACCCAACAAGGAGCTACATACAGAGTCACAAATTATCAACTAACAATGTAATATAAAATCATGTAAATATATTTAGTATAAAACAGCCCAAACAAAACAGTAATGTCTGAAAATTTAATCATAAACAGTGTCAGGAAAGCTTTGTAAGACAGTATATATAGGGGCCGGCACTGTGGCACAGTGGGTTAACGCCCTGGCCTGAAGCACTAGCATCCCATATGGGCGCCGGTTCGAGACTTGGCTACTCCTCTTCCAATCCAGCTCTCTGCCACGGCCTAGGAAAGCAGTAGAAGATGGCCCAAGTCTTTGGTCCCCTGCACCCGTGTGGGAGACCCGGAAGAAGTCCCTGGCTCCTGGCTTCAGACTGACGCAGCTCCGGCCATTGTGGCCATCTAGGGAGTAAACCATCAGATGGAAGACCTCTCTCTCTCTCTCTGCCTCTCTTCTCTCTGTGTAACTCTTTCAAATAAATAAATCTTAAAAAAAAAAAAAAAAAAGACAGTATATATAAACATCAATAGAAAGTTTAAATATATAGAATTAAATAGTACTAATACATCGAGATCACTACAAATCAGAATATAAATGAAAATAAATGTACCAAAATAAAAGGATTAAAAGTTTCCTATGATAGAAAGCAATTGCTTGCCTTGGGAGTATTTTCAGTAATGAACTAAACAAGTAAAGCTATTTTCATTTTGCAATAAAATTTTCTACTGTTTTCTAGCCAGAAAGAAATATTAAATGCAAACAAAACAGTGCCACGTGACTAGTAGAGGAGACAACTGTTGTAGGAAGGGCTATATAATTATGATATTAATAATTAATAATGAAAATTTATTGTACTTGTATATTAACTAAAAACTGTCTGAAATGACCTGAAGGTAATTCTTTTTCCACTTCTACTTAGGTTATACTGTCTAATGAATATGTTAACATGCACTGGCTTTCACCCCTCTACATACTTAAATAAGATTATTAAAAATTCTTGATCAGTTAAAACCAGCACATATAATTTATATAAAACTAATCAAGACTACTTAGTATAGAGAACAACAGTAATGATTACAAAAACATTTATTGTCAACATATATGAAAGACTTGATCAACCTGATAACACAAAAGAAGGATATTTTATCTGATAGCTTCAGAGTTTCAAGACACAAAATCATACAGTGTGGTACAGGGTTTCTAAATGGTATGTAAAATAAATCAATACCAATCACTAAAATTAATGGAGGGGGCAGCGTTGTGGCATAGTGGGTTAACGCAGCTGCCTGCAATGCTGGCATCCTACATGGGCACTGGAGAGAATCCCAGCTGCTCCACATCTGATCTCACTCTCAGCTATGGCCTAGGGAAGCAGTGGAAGATGGCCCAAGTGCGCACGCTGTGGCAGACCCGGAAGAAGCTCCTGGCTCCAGATCAGTCCAGCTCCGACTGTTGCAGCCATCTGGGCAGTGAATGAGCGGATGGAAGACCTCTCCCTCTCCCTCTCTCTGCCTCTCTGTAACTCTGCCTTTCAAAAATTAAATAAATTTTAAAATTAATGGGATGGTCACTTAACAATTAAAAGTAACCTATGTGAAAGTCTATTTGTGAGGCTATTCTAAGTGATCTTTCTTTCCTTCTAGTAAATAACGATCCCAATTCAACAGAAACAATCACCATAGCTTTCTTTTTTTTTTTTTTGACAGGCAGAGTGGACAGTGAGAGAGAGAGAGACAAAGAGAAAGGTCTTCCTTTGCCATTGGTTCACCCTCCAATGGCCGCCACGGCCGGCGCACCGCGCTGATCTGATGGCAGGAGCCAGGTACTTATCCTGGTCTCCCATGGGGTGCAGGGCCCAAGGACTTGGGCCATCCTCCACTGCACTCCCTGGCCACAGCAGAGAGCTGGCCTGGAAGAGGGGCAACCGGGACAGAATCCGGCGCCCCGACCGGGACTAGAACCCGGTGTGCCGGCGCCGCAAGGCAGAGGATTAGCCTAGTGAGCCGCGGCACCGGCCACCATAGCTTTCTATTATCCCATATTACATATTATTCTATATTATAATACATACTGTTACTTTCCCAATCCTGTTCTCTTTCATCTAAACATTGCCAGCAGATTCAGTTTCATAAAAAAAATCATGCTCATGACATTAGTATTCTGCTTAATACATTTTAATAATTCTCCACTGGTACTGAAAATAAATTCTCAAGTTCTTAATAAACCTTTTCCATAATTGGTTACAACAAGCTGTCAATGCTACCTTTTATCAGCTAGCTTATCTCCTCTTAGACACTCAGAGCTTCCAAAAACTGTTCAAAACCATTCCTTCATCCTGAAGTAACCTTCCAATGTAAACCTAATCTATCCACTAAGGTCTCAATAAAAACTACTACACTGAGGCTGGCACTGTGCTACAGTGGGCTCAGCCTCCGCCTATAGCACCAGCATCCCATACAGGCGTCGGATGAAGTCCCACCTGCTCCTCTTCTGATCTAGCTGTCTGCTACAGCTGGGAAAGCAGCAGAAGATGGCCCAAGCATTTGGGCCTCTGCCTCTATGTGGGACAACTGGAATAAGCTCCTGGCTCCTAGCTTCGAATTAGCTGACTTCTGGCAGTTGTGGCCATTTAGGGAGTGAACCAGCAGATGGAAGAACTTTCTCTGTGTCTCTCCCTCTGTCTGCAACTCTACCTCTCAAATAAACATAAAAATCTTAAAAAAAAAAAACAAAATTACAATACTTCATCCATATCACTGAGTAGGAAACAATCTCATATACTTGAGACTCCATAATACTGTACTAAGTGCGCTCAAAGCTTTTCGTAACCTGCCAAGTCTATGTACAGTCAAGTGCTGCTCAATGACATGTAAATCTTGAGTGATGTGTCTATTTGGACACCACAGAGTTCAAGTACACAAACCTAGATGGTAGAGCCCACCACATGGTTATTATAAGCGGTCCACAGACCAGCAGCTCTGTATCCAGTAAACACCTTCTGAATAAATATTGAAATAAAATTGAAAGCTCTTTAGTATTTATTATGTCTAATACTGCAATTGAGCCACCACCAATAACAAAGCATCAAAAAGTAACTATGAAAGAAATAAAAGATTAACAATAGGCCATGATTTGATAATTTTACATAACCTACTTATGTATGAATTGATAAATTTCATTAATAACTTACTTCCTTCTCCATCATCTGTCACTCCTAGTACCAATCGAAGAAGGCACTGGGCATGTTTTCTCTCTTTCAGTAGCACTTCAGCATAGCCTGGAAGACGAAGGAATAATCCAAAAGCAGCTAGAGAGTGAGCAGGTATGGGAGACATGGTCTGGACTGATGACTTGATCGGAGGAGGCTCAGCCGCAATGGTTTCTGGTGCTTCATACACTAACTCCCCAGACTGCTCAATAGTCACCCATTCAAACTGATCACTATCCTTTGGCTTTTCCTGAGTGGTGGATGTTACAACTGGAGCACTGACCTAAAACAAAACAAAACAGAGTTTGTTTTGTTATGTGTGCTTTGTCAACATCAGGTTCAATCTAAAGATCTTCAAATAATCTTAGAAAATTTAGAATACAAGGATTAAGAAGGGAAATGTGTTTGTAAAATCAAGCTTCCAAGTGTCAGGAACCATGTAACATCATGACTGGGGTGTTCCGTGGACAGAATCTTTCAAACAAAATAAACTTGTTTCTCTCAAAACTTTGATCCACTAGCATTAACATTAATTTTTTTCCTGAAATAATACTGGTGATGGTGGTTCCCAAAGGATAAATTCTCTCATTGCTTCAACAATTAGTAGTTGGCAGTAAAAGGTGAGCATAAACATTCCCACCTTCCCTATCCGCTCATTTATTAATTTTTATCAGTACAGATTTCAATTTTATCCTACAGATTACAATCTGTTATTATCACTATTTTGATGCCCAAGCAGAACCAGATTTGGTTACCAGAACCCATTTAAAGGAGGTTCCTGCATCCTTTTAAAGCATCCCCATTATTCTATGAGCACTTCCTTCCTTGACAGCATAGTAAGATAGTATAAAGCACATCTGTACATTCCCTGCCCTAACTCTAGAATGTTTCCAAGGAGATCCAATTTCTTTCAGTGTGGAATAGACAATGCTAGTGGCTGTCAGTTGCTAAACCCTGTGAGCAAGCAAACTTAGGAAATACAGACAAACACATGTGTATTTGTGTGAGTACATGCACACATACACTATACATATTTATGTATACACACATATATAAGTAATATATATGAGTTTATATATATTACACATGTCAGTAATATATATGTATATTTTGTGTGTGCTGATCAAAACTGTAAAAATCATGCAAGACAAAAAAACTGTTAGAAGACTACAGCATAACACATCAGATGGCCTTGGTTTGCAATTCCCAGGTCTGGCCTGGCCCAGTCTCAACTGTTAAAGGCATTCGGGGAGTAAATTAGGAATTGGAGGTCTGGGTCTCTCTCTCTGGCTTTCAAATAAATCTAAAAGGGAGAAAAGCAGGGAGAGAAAAGAGAAAGGGAGAAGGGAAGAGAAGTAGAGATGGGGACGAGAGAGAGAGAGAGAGAGAGAGAGAGAAAGGTGTGCAAGAAATTCAACATATAATCCTGAATTGGATCTGAGACCACCACCACCATCATCGTTTTGTACTTCAATTCAGAGAAATTCTAAACATGGTGAACACAGAAACTTTCCATTTTGTTTAGTTTACTATTTCTCTTTCTTGGCCATGAATGAAATACTTCACCAAATACTAACTAGAAGTTTCCCACTCAAACGTATAATTTAATGATTAGTAACTTAATTACAGGGTTCTTTTCACTTTTCATTTAAAAATGACCCCCACAATTCACATATCACTCCACTGAAGTCATACAGTTTAAGGATCAATCCTAAGGAATACAATAGACATCACTAAAATGATCTAAGCACATATATTTAAGGGTACTTCAGAAAGTTTGAGGGAAATGGAATTAAAAGGTGGGTTTAGCAGCAGATATTCTGATGCAGCAGAGGTAAGCTGTCATTTGGGAAGCCCACATCCCATACTGGAATGTCTAGGTTTGAGTTTCAAACTCCACAAGCATCCTGCATCCTGTCAATCCACCCGCAAGACAGCAGATGATGGCCCCAGTACTTGAGCTCCTGTCACCCATGTGGAAGATCAAAATGAAGATCCTGGCTCCTGGCTTCAGCCTAGCCCAGCCCCGGCTGTTAAGGGGGTTCGGAGAGAAAAAACAGTGGATAGAAGAGATCTTTCTTGCGCGCTCTCTCCCGTCTCTGTCGTTACTTCTGCTTTCTAAGTAAGTAAAGTAAACAAACATAACTTTCAAAAAAATTACTTTGGTACAAAACTTTGAGATTTATGCATAATATGCATTTTCTATTAAATTTTGAGTATTCCTTCATATGGATTTCAAAATTTTCTGCACCAAAATAAACTAATTTTTAAATTTTATTTTCCATGAATTTTTGAAGCACTCTTGTTCTAGATACACAACAAAAGTTGTGATTTTTATGGCAGCCTGTTCAAACTACTGAAGTTTAGCAAGGAGAGAAGACTATGAAATAGCTCAATTGTAAAAGTGTGGGAATTTAGGGTAAGTTGAATCTAGTAACCCTTGTCAGGTGAATTTTTTAAGTACATTTATAGTCATTATTTTATGCTGCACAAAAAGAAAAGTGTAGCACAGAAGTTCCTCTATAATATGTTGTCATCATTTTCTTTTTTTTTTTAAGCACTGGTTTTAAAAAAAAAAAAAAAGATTTATTTATTTGAAAGGCAGAATTACAGAGAAAGAAAGGAAAAAGTAGAAAGATAGAGATCTTCCATCTGCTGGTTTACTCTTCAAATGGCTGCAATGGCCAGGGCTGTGCTAGGCTGAGGCCAGGAACCAGGAGCTTCTTCTGGGTTTCCCAGGTAGGTGAAGGGACCTAAGTAAGGACCTGGGCCATCCTCTGCTGCTTTCCCAGGTGCACTGGCATGGAGCTCGATCAAGAGGGGAACAGCTGGGATGCCAGCATGGCAGGTGGCAACTTAACCAGTAACATCACAATGCTGGCCCCATCATTCAATTTTCTTAAATATTACATCTCAAATGACAAGAAAACAAACATATTGAGGGCAAAAACAAAAAAGCTCTTGATTCCTTAACTACATATAATATGGAAGACCCTCAACCTCATGAAAATGATAGAGGATATTAAAACCACTATCATGTATCAATGCCCATTCACCCACCATCCTGGCAAAATTTTTTTACTTCTTCTATGTACACAATTCTTCTCAACTTTAGCTGGATGCAATCAAAATGCTAGTCAACATTAAAACTGATTACATCCTGGTACAGTTACAGCATACAGTACATGAAAATAAAAATACAGGAGTCATGCAGGTTCACAGACATCAACAAGGAGTTTGGGATAGAGGTTCAGCAAAAGAAGCAACTACAGAAGAAAATAAACTGATATTTATATAGATGTCAAAAGTATGATTATTCTTTTGGTACTTTTTAGGGTATAAGTACTGAAATCTATATAATTTTTTAAACTAAACATTTACATAAACATTATATATAACTGTATTCATTATTTCACATATTAAAAAGTAGCACTGAAAGGGTATAAAACACATTCTTTTTTTGTTGCTGTTCAATTAACATTACAGATTTGTATTTTCAATAGAAGTAAACCAGGACAAGGGTAAAACAGCTCAATTGCCCAAAAAGTAAGAATTTATTCCCTTTGAATAATAACTACAATGCAAATAAGAAAACTACTGTAAACTCAATGACCAAGATGTGGTTTGAGAAGCTTTTAGAAATTATACTCTAGCCATTTGATGTCTTATATTTAATTCTGATACACATATTGCACAGCAAACTACCCACCACTACTTAGGACTGAAAAGACATGAAGTTTTTCTCAAGGAGTTAAATGCTCCAAGTTAATGACCAAGAAATAGACTTCAGAATGAACTGGAAAACATGGAATTAAAGTGATTTCAAATCCATAGCCAGGAAAGTTAAAACAATAAAAACTATGTATGTTGGATTACAATAGAGTATCATTTTGTACACCTAAACATATACACTTTCTACAAGCTAGGGTAAATAATATTTTTCAAGGAACTCATCAGTTAGATGTAAGTTATCATATTTACAACATAAAACTGATTATAATATTCTCTCATTGCTATGAACTATAGTAATGTGCTTTCTATCATGTGAGACAGGACCCATTTTGAGTCTTCCTCTTTTTTTCTTAAACTTTGATAGGGTTTATCTAATTAAAGTCTTAGTGAAAAAAAATGCTCAGCTTTTTTGTTTCTCTTTGTTTTTTTAATTGATTCTGGCTCTTTTTTATAGTCCATTGCTTCTTAGTTGTGGTTATTTTATTCTATTTGTGGTTATGTAAGGTGGAAGATCACAATGCTAATCTTAACTATAGGTGGTCCCCAACTGGTTCTATTCACAATAGTACAAGATTTTTTGCCTTTTTCATGGCATGAAACCCTACTTCCAATTTTAAATTCTGATCTCTCCCTAGGTTTGCAATATGCAGTATGATATTCCCCTGTGATGTCAGGCAGCAGCAGCTATGAGACCAGAAGCATTAACAGCCAACACTCTATAGTATACGATGTTGCTAAGCTGTGTTAGGTTAGTTAAGTGTATTAAAGGCAATTTTAACAGGATATTTTCAACTTATAATAGCTTTATGGAACTTGAGAAGCATCTGCATAAGCATTTTAAGCTATAAACTTTATCGCTACACACAGCTGTAACTATTTCCCATGTTACATTTTCATTCTCATTTTTTCCCCCCCGGAGCAAGGGAAAGGGTTTATTGGGGAACAACCTACAGACCGGAGTGAAGGGGCGGCGAAGGAAAAAGGGAGAAAGAGAATATAAGAGAGAAACAGAGAGGAGAGGAGCTAGCAAGGAGAGAAGATAGAGCAGAGAAGAGGAGAGAGGAGAGCAGAGCCAAGAGCCCAGAGGAGGAGGCTAGAGAGAGGAACCGAGAGAGAGCAGGAGAGAAGGGGCAAGAAGCGATCATTTTTGAAATACAGTACATTTGGGGCCAGCACTAAGATGTAGTGGGTAAAGCCACTGCCTGCAGTGCCAGCATCCCAGTGGGCGAGGGTTTGAGTCCCAGCTGCTGCACTTCTGATCCAGCTCTCTGCTATGGCCTGGGAAAGCAGCAGAGATGGTCCAAGTCATCTAGCCCCTGCACCAACATGGGAGACCTAGAATAAGTTCCCGGCTTCAGGTCAGCCCAGCTCTGGCCGTTGTGGCCACTTCAGGGGTGAACCAGCAGATGTAAGACCTCCATCTCTCTGTAGTTCTGCCTTTCAAATAAATAAATCTTTAACAACAACAACAACAACAACAACAAAAAATTACGCTATCTTTTCCTTGATCCATGTGTTACTCAGAACTGCTTAGTTCTCACCACTGCTTAG